CTCGTGATCCACCCGCCTCAGCCTCCCAAAGTGCTGGGATTACAGGCTTGAGCCACCGCGCCCGGCGTGCATTCAATTCTTATTTTAAATAAGGCTAGGTATAGGCACTGTACCTGACATTGCTACGTTTCTACCAATGTTTCAACTTAAAGTGCTAGTGTTTAAAAAAATTTTCAAAGGATAAGACCTTCCGTACTCTGCTTATTTGAAGAATCAGTGGTAGGAGCAGTGAAGTAAATTCTGTGGAGTACATTTCTAAAATAGCACATTTCTGAAATCATAAATAAGTTTTTTTCAGGTTCTAACCCTTTGCTATACACAAACAGACAGAAATGCATCTGTTATGTAAATGAGAAAAAGCTATTATGCCAATGGAGCATGCTTTTTAAATCCTTTAAAAACACTCGCCAGATCAACTTGCATTTGAGCTTGTGTGTTCTTTTTGTTAATGTGTGTTCTTTCTCAGAATTGCCAATGTGTACTTAGCTTAACTCAAGAACAGTTTTTTCTGGATTCCTTATTTGATTTATTTAACCTAACTATATTCTGATATTGCAAGTATTACCATAAGTGGGTAATAGTAAAAGCTTCTCCTTTAGCAACTAAACTACTTTAAACTTTGTAGCTCTTAGAGTCTATCTGACACTTTGGAGTTTAAAATATGCAAACCTTAGACAATAAGACATGAGGAATTTTTATCTGCACATCTGGGTGTAGGGGCAAATGCAGCTGGTTTGCCCTTTAGGAAGACAAGGGTCTGTAGCAATCACAAGGACTTTGTTCATTGAAATGAGACTGTTTTCCCCACAGCTGCTTCCTGAAACAACAAAAGGAGCTGAGCTAAGTCAACCTCTGGGGCATCAGGTCAGCCCTTCAGGGGCAGGACAAAAAGTCAGAGAGGTATCCTGGCTGCTCCCTCAGCTTGGGCTGAGGCAGAGTAGGATGGGGGATTTGCTGGTGACTGGTGCCTCTGCCCCTTGCCAATGCCACCCATGTGAATGTTCCCTTGTTCATTTTGTTTGAACAGATTTTTGTGACTTCTCTCAGGCTCTGAGATGATACTTGCTATTCACATCATCATTTTACATATTTCTATTAATACATGGTAGAACCAATCAACCAACCAACCAATCAACCAACTGAAATCCTAATTCTGGAGACACATTAGATAAAGGATCCTAGAATTCTCCCTTCCTTCCTGTAAGATAGTCTGCTCTGAACCCAGGGTCTGGGGCCATAGGAAGAGCATTCCTGAGCCTCCATCTCTGTGGAAATGCCAGGTCTTCTCTAGGGGCTGCACCTTGTCTTCTCCTTTCTCCTTTCCACTAAGACTTTTAGATGTCCCCATCCCCAGTCTGACCCCTAACCAGACATCTTTTCCCAGTGGGGCCTTTTGTAGGAGCTGAAAGACCTGACCAACCTCCATCAGCTCCATACCCTCTGTTGTTAGCTAGGACCTGCTGTGGAGAACAAGTGCCCTTGAGATCCCTCTTCTCTTAGTTTCCAGGACAGTAAATGAGAAATACCCTATTATGTGCTCTGACAGTACTGGGGATGGATGGATGGATGGATGGATAGATAGATAGATGATAGGGAATGATGTTAGTCTTTGGCCAGGCTGGACCTGAGGGGAACTGCTTAGCATCCGCAGCTTTTCTTGCACCACCAGAGGCTTCACCAGCCCAGAAATTCCATTTCCTACTCACTCAGAGGAAGGGCTACTGGCTGTAGGCTCTTACCACTGTCTGGCTCCGTGCTAGAAAATGACCATCAGAAGGCTTCTCCTGGGTCTGTTTTCCCCTGGCCCCAGCACAGCCCTCTGAAATTAATCTATGGGGAATGTATTTCCCCATCTCCAGTGTGGCTGTGGCCCTTTTCATATAGTCTACTCAGCCCCACGTGAGATGGGGATAATAGAAGGCTGGGCCCTGGGGAAGGGACCCAGGGAGACATGACCAGGTACTTGCAGGGAAGATCAGCTTTCTCCAGCTCCTTTCTCATGGCAGGCACTCAATTAGAGGGCTTCCCAGGTGCTGGAAAGCTCTGTGCTGGGAGGATGCTACTTCTTATACCCCTCTGCACAGTAGAGATGATGAGGACTGGGTCTGCTTTTCTCCCTGCACTCTGATGTAACAAAGGTTTTGTCACGAGGAGCTATTAAATAGACACTCATGGTAGTAAATGTGGAGACTGGGCAGCTTTGAAATCCTCAGACACATGTACATGTGTATGTGTGTATGTGTCATGGAAGACACAGGATAAAGTCTGTTGTCTGTGGTCCTGAGGGGTTGAGGCAATGATCACCAGAGCTGGCTCTATCTTTGCCCTCGTGCATATTCTGCTCACTCAGCTCCCATTTTGTTATACCATTCATCAGTTGGCAACCTGAGGGGATCTTAGGGAGGGAGTTGTAGGCTAGTCCATCTTCTCCTCCATGGATCAACATAGGCCAGACCCAGCTATAGGAGGCTGGACCACAACCAACATGGGATTTTTGCTGAGTTTAGAGAGAAAGTCACTATATCACTGAGGGATCTCATTGAAGACTTGATTAGCTAGAGAAGGAGATTATGGAGAAGAAAGAAAGATGGCAGGAGAAGAGAAGGGGGTGACCATGACAACAGAGGAGGAGTGGAGAGGGTGTCCCCAAAACTTAACTCTAAATAATTAAGAGCCAGCCCTGGGCTCAGTATCCAGTTTAGATCTAGGCAGGATCCCTGGGGCACTGAAGCTGAGGAGGTAACTAGTGGTTTAAAGGTGGAGTAGAGAGGTTCAGGATGCCTGGTGTGGATTGTGGGGAAGGTTACAACCAGAACCTTTTATGGACTGCTCACAGCACTCCACATACAGGCAAAGGCCAGAGTATTGATGCCTAGACAAAATGCTGTTACACAGCATGGGGAGTTCATTTTGTTGAGATTGAAGAACTTTGAGAGGAAATAAAATCTCTGAAGAGAAGCTAAATTCCATCTACAGAGGTAGTGTGGCATATTGCCTCTCCTCCATTCTGTTGAAAGAGCTCTCGTCAGTGACTGCTACGTTGCTAAATTCGTTGATCTCAGATCACCACATACTCTGCCTCTCTGCAACATTTTTAACAGAAAACACTTTCTTCACTGGTTTCCAGGACATGCTTTGCCCTCCTCTTACCTTACGAGTCACTGCTTAGTCCCCTTGGCTGGCTTTGAGTGTCACCCGATCTCCAAGCATTGGCACACTGCCATCTTTGTCTTTGGGCCTCTTCTCCATGTAGGCTCACTCCTTAGTATGAATTTCAGGTTTTTGAATAGTATCTAATGAATCCAAATTTCTGATACCAGCCTGAACATTTTCCCTGAATTCTAGGCTTAAATATCAAACTACCTACTCAACGTCTGTATGTGGATGACTGATAGCCATCTAAACTTAACACACCCCAAACCATACTCTTGATTTCCATGGCCCCAAACTTGTTTCTTCAATGGTGCTCCCAGTCTCAGCAAATGGCAGTGTAATTTTTCCATTTGCTCAGGTCAAAATAAAAAAACTTGAAGACATCATTAACTCCCGCTGATCCACGAGCAGGAATGGTTGGATCTATCTCTAAAAGAAATCCATACATGCAATAAACCCATAATTAGGTATCTCACCATGTCCACCACAGTTACTACCTGGTTCAAGTTAATGCCATCTTTGTCTGGATCATCATAAGGGGCTCCTTACTGATTTTTCTGCTCTAACTCTTACCCTCTTACAATTTATTCTTCACTTGGTAGATGGAGTAAACTCAATAAAAATCAGTCATGCCACTCCTCTTCCAATGGAAGTCTTCCAATGGATTCTGGTTTCAGAGTAAAAGCCAAACATCTTACAAGATCTCAGGGAATCCCCAAGACCCGCAGTGATTTGGTCCTCACCCGTCTGTATGACCTCACCTCCTGCCTGTCCTGCCCAAGTCACACTGGCTTTTCAGTATAGTGTGACAAACTTGCTTCTGCCCAAGGGCGTTTTTGCTATTCCCCTGCTTGAAATGCCATGCCTCCAAATAGCCACATGGCTCTGCCAGACCTCACTTCCTTCAGGTCTCTAATCAAATGTCTTATTAGTTGACTAGAACATTTAAAATAAGCTTTCTTCCTCATCTTTGAAACTTCCTTTTGCCTTTATCCTCTCTTATGTTTCATACCACTTATCATCTGAAGCACTGTGTATTTTCTTGTTTATTTGTTTGTCACCTGTCTCCTCTCACTAGAATGCAAACTCCACAAGAGCAGGGGTTTTATCTACTTTGTTCATTCTTCACCCCTGAATTTTGGAGAGTACCTTCATTTTGTAGATGCCCAATTAGTATTTATTGAGTAAATGAAAGAATGGTGGTTGAGAGTGCAGATCCCAGAAAAAGATTCCGCAAGTTCAAATTCCAGATCTTCTCTTTAACAACTGTGTGCCTTTGGGCAAGTTTTTAAACCTCTCTGTATCTTAGTTTCCTTATAGTAATTGAAGATAACAAGTACCTGCCTTATAGAATTGCTGTGAAGATTAAGTTAATACATTTAAATTTCAGATCAGTCCTCAGCACATAGATTTGATAGATGTCAATCATCATCATCATCATCATCATCTAAAATTATTAGCTGGAATGTTAGAAATATAAGAACAGAGAATTTTGGAAATCTGGGAGAAGTGAGAGGATGCAGAACATATGGATGGGATTGGTGGAAGCTTTATGTGGCAGATTGTATTCTTCAAAGATGGTTGCAACAGTATCTCAGTTTCACATGCTATTCTGGAAA